CATATCTTACTGGACGCGATAAAGGCATTAAAAAATGCTGTTCAAGCCATAACAACACGTGAGATCGGATTGAGGTTAAATTTATCAAATTCAACAGTTTATGACCACTTGAAAGGCCTGGGATGATCCGGCAATTTTGATGTCGAAGATGCACCACGTTCGGGAAGGCCGGTTGAAGCTGATAAAGACGCGATAAAGGCATTAGTTGATGTCAACCGGCGGATAACAACACGTGAGATCGGATTGAGGTTAAATTTATCAAATTCAACAGTTTATGACCACTTGAAAGGCCTGGGATTATCCTCGAAGCTCGATGTATGGGTTCCCCATGTTCTCACAGAGAGAAATCTGTGTCGTCGCATTGACGTATGCGATTCGCTTCTCAAACGTCACGAAAATGATCCGTTTTTGAAGCGCATCATCACTGGGGACGAAAAAAGGTTGTATACAACAACGTCAAACGCAAGAGGTCATGGAGCAAAAAAGATGAAACCGGCTCAAACCATTTCCAAAGCCGATATTCACCAAAAAAAGGTGATGCTGTCTGTTTGGTGGGATTTTAAAGGAATCGTTTTTTTTTAGCTTTTACCGGATAACACAACGATTAATTCGGAAGTCTACTGTCATCAGCTGGACAAACTGAATGATGCACTTCAACAGAAAAGGTCAGAACTAATCAACAGGAAAGGTGTAGTGTTTCACCAAGACAACGCGAGACCTCACACAAGTTTGGTCACTCGCCAAAAGCTTTTACAGCTTGAATGGGATACAATGCTACACCCACCATATTCTCCAGACCTGGCACCATCGGATTATTATTTGTTCCGGTCACTCCAAAATTTTTTAGACGGTAAAACCTTCACCTCAAATGAGGAGGTCAAAAACCTCCTCGATCAGTTTTTTGCCAGCAAAGACCAAAAATTTTATGAGCGTGGAATTATGCTACTACCAGAAAGATGGCAAAAGGTGTTGGACCAGAACGGTCAATATATAATTTAATAAAGTATTTGTTTATTATACGAAAACTGTCTTTCATTTCCACAAAAAAAAACGAAATGGCTTTCCGAACAACCCTATAAATAAAATTGAAATGTGCCTCTGTAATATCGAAATAGCTGCCGTTTTAATAAAATGTCTGCCCATGTATACGGGCTACTCTTCGAAACGGATTTCGATAGAATTTATAAACATGAAGGCAAGGTTGCGAGTAATGATCTAGGCCACACTCTTTTACAACAATTATATTCGTTATGAACAATTAGAAACAGTTTCACGCGGATAAAATTGCGGGTAAAAGATAGAAACAAATAAAAGTTGGCAATTCGGCGAACGTCTCGTTCTAATTAGAACCAAGGAACTGATGTCAATTGTTAATTTGTTAGAATTAAGGAATACTTATTTTTATGATTGCTTAATCAGCCGTTTTAACAGAATAAAAAAGTAATATAACAAAGGTTAATGTTGGAAGTACGATGAAACTAATATAAATGAACTTGTTCATAAACAACGAAATCGAAGCAAGCAGAGTAGATTATACTGCCGTACATTCTAAGTTTAATATAACCCAAAACGCCTTGGGTTTTATGATGACGTTAGTAAATTTGGCAGTTGAACAGGAAAAAAAAAACTTTTTTCAATTCCATTTCCTCAGCTATTACTGCTGATGGGCGGGCAGCTTCTCAGGTAGGGCGGAAGACCCCTCTTCAGCCACCTTTCAGGAATGGTGGGAATGAGTGGGTGGTGGTTTCGGGTGAGAATGATGAGACGAACGAAATGAAGACAGAAGAAAATAAAAGATTATGTATGGATTAGTACTGCTCTAGCATTTGTCTAAGTGATCCAAGAAAACCACAGAAAAACTTGGACCAAGGCAGACGAGCCCGGAATCGAATCGGCGTCCACCCGAATGCTAAGCAATGGTCTAAACCTTCCCAGTGTGTATGCTACTTTTCATCATCACTCGGACAAAGTTAAATTTTCTTGGATAATAAGTAATTTAACAATCATGTTCAGCGAAAAAAAGAAAAAAAAAACAAAATCTGTCGATGTGGACAAAATAGTACATATTTTTGCATCTTTAAATAAAAACGCCGCATAATTTTGTAAAAAGCTAAGCCTTTTGGATTATGTCTTATGTGAAGTTAAATGCTTCTACATTAATTTTTATTTACGAATATTAGCTCAGGATAAGAAAGGGGGTAGGTGTGTGTCCAACCAGTCTTACGATTAGAACTGACGACCTTATGATGATGATAAGTACGACTTTAATCATTGTCACTTTTTAGACTCCCTTAAAATATTAAATTATACTCAATTTTCTTTCGTTCAAACAATGTACTCAATTCAAGTCCGTATATAATCGATTAGTTCTGGATTTTTTAATCAACAGATTAAAATATTGCAATGCCCAATTGTTGTTTGCCTCTATGCACATTAGGAAAATCTAAGTTGAAATCTAATCGATTATTAGTTATCTGATAAAACCAATGAGTGCCTTATTCCGCTAACTCATTTTTTCTTGTAGTAGGCCAGATTATTAAATTAAAATTCATTTATCTAATGTCGTTTGCATCCTGAGTGTTAGTAATATTTCAAAAAATTCAAATTTCAAATTTACTAATTACTGACTTATTCTATATCGCGTGTACAAACACTGTCTGCCAGAAGCCGCCATATTTAATATGGCGTTTCCTGTACTACCATGAACGGAAAACTTAATTTGTAAATTAAGAATTCTGTTAGGTCCGACTTTATTATGGGGTTTATAAGATATCAAGGAATAAAACTTCAAAAAAGAGTTTTGCCTTGCAATCGAATTGTAGATCCATCTCCTCTCATGATACAATAGTCGGGAACTAGCCATTGTTATCATTTAAATACAGTTTTTTATTAGAATACGCTAATTTTATCGTTTTCGAGGTGGAATTGAATAATTGAAAAAGGGTAAACTGTCTTAAAGGTCTAACAATTCGGTATTCCCACTGACAGGGTTTAACATTTAAACTATTATTTGACAAAATGTCGTCTAAGAACAAATGAATAATGATTAAAATGTAAATACATCGACAATGATGCCCACCGTCCAAATTTGGACGGATTCAACTAAATTCTTTATTATTTTCTTATGGCTATAAACGTAAATTAATAAAATTTTACCATTAAGCATATAAGTACATGTAAGTAAGAAGATTGTAGATATAATTGTAAGAAAAATCTCACCTGTATACTTGAGGTCAGCGACAGCTTGGCTGAGCTTGTAGTTAGAAGTGTTGATGGCCATGAGGAAGATGATAGACGTGGAGGACGGTGCAATGGGCGACCTGCTGCTACCAACGATGACACAACGACGATAAGCCTGGGCTCGAAAGGCTCCTTCGACGGCGTAGCTTTTGTAAAAGGTTACGCGAGAGGTGACCTACATTGCAACGGCGCCTCTTTGCGTGCGCAAAAAGCGCCCACAGTCGGGGGTGGAGCGCCGTGCAGTTCCGACCCCGGAAAGCAGGATTGATGCTCTTCCAGTCTTTTGCAATTACATAATATCAGTATTTACCATTCGAATTACTAACTGTAATTCGTTTTATGTTGACGCTTCTGATGACGTTTGTCAAATCTAGTCAGCGTATAATTAAATAACGGAACACAATTTTCTAGTTTTCAACAATACAAGGGATTGTACATGATTGATGTTTTTACAGATATACGTATATACAATACGCCATCAGTTAAGTCAAACCTTATAATCGCTAAACTTGATGTATTTCTAATTTTTGGATATGTTGTTGAGACGAAGATGATCGGATGATTGTTGCAAATGATGCCGCTTCATACTTATCATCATCATAAGGCTGTCAGTCCTAAGACTAGTTGGCCACGCACCTCCCCTTAATCCTATCTTGAGCTAATCTTCGTATTTCCGTAAAACTAAAACATCCCACATCCTAATGTCTAAATAATATGTCTCTGACTAGACCTTCATGCCTGAGGTGTCCTACCAACCTGTCTCGCCTATTTTTTATTGACTTCCATAGAGTCTTGTATTCTCCTATTCTTTCTAATATTTCTTCATTTTTAACCTTCTCTATCCACGGTATTCGGATCATTCGCCTGTAACACCACATTTCGAACGCTTCTAACTTTTCTTTTCCGCCGCGCCCACCGTCCACGTTTCACACCCGTACAACGCCGCACTCCAAACATGCACCTCTAACAATCTTTTTAGAATTTCTAAATTAACCATTCGTGAGCATAGAAGTAACTTCTTTTTACTGAAGGCGACTCAGCCCTGTGCTATCCTCTGCTTTATATTCCTACTACTCCTTCCGTCCTGACTTATCTGACTTCCTAGATACCGAAAATCAGCCACTTGTTCTAATTTTTCGTCTTCTACGTCATACTTATTCAAAAATTATAAGAGGAGTAGAAGAAAAGGAGACTAAAAATTAATCTCAGGAAAACGGAATGCCTATACCAGCATCGGAATGGAACCTCATACAGATGAAAAAATGGTTAATCTATATAATAAATCTAAATACCTTAGCTCATACATTACACAGAAGAAGAGGAAATGTGAAGGGGATATTCGATCCTGAGTTAGTGAAAGAAAAATAAGTAATGAAAAACTAGATTCTCTTTTATGGTCATGTAGGAAAAACTTGACAAAGCATTAACCATGTACTATAAAGCTACCACCAACTGCTTCTTAACCTTAAATTGTTCCTTAAGTTTATAATTTGAAGCTGTAGTAATATATTTTTTAAGAAAATGTAGGATGAAAAGACTAGAACACATTCCAAATGATGTCATTAGGCAAATAACAAACATAGTCACATCTATAAAAAAAATTTCACTATCTTTTCTTTTCCTTCTTTTTTCAAGACATTTTTCTCAGTGCACTTATTTATTCTTCCAATACATGCCTCAAGTTTTGTATTTCAATTCCACAAATCCTACATTTTCTCTTCTCCACTTTCAACCAGTCTTTAGTTCCTTTACATTCATTCCGCATTCTAAATCTTTCTGTTATCCCTATATAACAGGTCAATTGAAAAGTCCCCGGCCTAAAATAGTAAAACACATTTTTTTTGCAAAATTCGTTTTTTTTATTCAACATAATTCCCTTCAAGGGTGATACACTGATTATAGCGATCCTCCAACTTTTCGATACCATTTTTGTAGTACGATTTGTCCTTTGCTTCAAAATAGGCCTCAGTTTCGGCGATCACCTCTTCATTCGACGAAAATTTTTTCCCAACGAGCATTCTTTTGAGATCTGAGAACAGGAAGTAGTCGCTGGGGGCCAGATCTGGAGAATACGGTGGATGCGGAAGCAATTCGAAGCCCAATTCATGAATTTTTGCCATCGTTTTCACTGACTTGTGAGACGGTGCATTGTCTTGGTGAAGCAGGACTTTCTTTTTCTGCAAATGCGGTCGTTTCTCGGCGATTTCGTCCTTCAAACGGTCCAATAACGCTATGTAATAGTCGCTGTTGATGGTCCTTCCTTTTTCAAGGTAGTCAATGAAAATTATTCCACGCGCATCCCAAAATACAGACGCCATAACCTTGCCAGCCGACTGTTGCGTTTTTGCACGCTTTGGAGCGGGTTCATCGTGTGCAGTCCACTCCGATGACTGTCGATTGGACTTCGGAGTGAAATGATGGAGCCATGTTTCATCCATTGTCACATATCGACGCAAAAACTCGGGTTTATTACGCGTGATCATCTTCAAACACTGCTCTGAATCATCAACTCGTCGTTGTTTTTGGTCAAAAGTGAGCTCGCGCGGCACCCACTTTGCACAGAGCTTTCTCATACCCAAATATTCGTGAATGATGTGATGTATACGTTCCGTTGATATCTGTAGAGTGTCTGCTATTTCATTCAATTTCAATTTACGGTCATTCAAAATCATTTTGTGGATTTTTTTAATGTTTTCGTCCGTAACAGCCTCTTTTGGGCGTCCACTGCGTTCACCGTCTTCGGTGCTCATTTCACCACGTCTAAACTTAGCATACCAATCCTTGATGGTTGATTTTCCTGGGGCAGTGTCCGGAAATTCGTTATCAAGCCAAGTTTTTGCTTCAACTGTATTTTTTCCCTTCAAAAAGCAATATTTTATCAACACGCGAAATTCCTTTTTATCCATTTTTTTCACAATAACAAAAGTTGCTTCACTAAAAATGCTATAATTCACAAACTAATGATCCGACAGCCGTCAAATTTATAGACGCGTCTTTTGAAGGTTAGGACTAACTGAAAATCATATGGATTTAGTTCTGGTGCCGCCATCTATGTGTCAGGCCGGGGACTTTTCAATTGACCCTAGTATATATATTCTTATTCTTAATTATGTAATCAGATATTATGTCATTTTGCCAATCTTCCCATATTCATTCTCTCATCCCTTCTGCACATTTTCAACATTGAATTTTTCTTAGATCTTCTCCCCTTTTCATTTTTCTACATCTATTATTTATTATATTACTTACATTCAACCCTTATTTTCCCATTCAATTAGTTGTTCCTTGCTGATTCTCATTTCCTGTATAGCCTTATACCTTTCCTCCTCATAGGTATGTGTTTCTCATACCTATTCTCAGATCTTTTTTTCTCCATATTTCTTTCCTTATATCGTCGTCTTTTAATTTTTCCAACTTTTTTTATCTTTATAAATTTTTTCTATCTGATCATATTTTTTCCACCCCCATATTTCAACCCCATAAAACATAATGCTTTTTAGAACTGAATTAAATAACATCATCCTTCTCTCCCAATATTTTTGCATAACTTTTGTCCTATCCCCTAAATTCCCCCTAAAATTTCCATTGCCTTTCTACATTTATTCTCTATATGTATCTCATTCTTATTATTTTTGTACATGTACCCTAAATATTATTCAGTATAAAATGAGTTTTGAAAATACAATCGAATTCAACGCGGACTAAGACGTGGACAACATCTATTAAGTCATAAGAAGACAACTGTTCAACCGACAACTTTTTTTTGAAGTTGCAAGTTTGAGTTTACAATACCCCTAGTACTTTTCATAATATATCAAAAATTCCGAACTACATCAGGCCTTTTTTATGTAAGATAATACTTACTTGCTACATATATTTCGGAATTTATTCATCGAATTGTTTAGATCGTTTATGAGGAAGCTTTATCCATTAAACCTTCTATTCAACACCCTAATAGACTGGTAGGCATGTAGATTTAAAACCTGAAGGAATGATTCTTGATAGACGAACACTAAGTAGGGATTTTTCCAAATTCGATTCCTAAAATTGTGAAAAGAGTGACTGACTGGCTGACAGACAACGCAGAACAAACGCCGGTAGGCCTGGAGTTTTGAAATTTGGACTAAATATTCTTTAAGCCTTTAGAGGTACAGTAAGAATATTTTTAAATATTTTTAAAAATTCCATCCAAAAGGGGGAATGTAACTGACTAGCAGACAACGCATAGTTCTAGTTGGTGAAACTAGAGATTTGAANTCTGTACCGCTAAATGTTCAGTTACTTTTTCAGTAAAATTGGAAATATTAATGTGAAAATTTATTTAATTTTTATCCACCACAAATTACCTTGAGCAAGGAAAGGATGCACACTGTCACCTGTACTTTTTAATCTATACATCGAAGACGCGATCAGGAGTTTTGAAATTTGGACTAAATATTCTTTAAGCCTTCAGAGGTGCAGTAAGAATATTTTTAAATATTTTTAAAAATTCCATCCAAAAGGGGGAATGTAACTGACTAGCAGACAACGCATAGTTCTAGTTGGTGAAACTAGAGATTTGAAATGGGAGAACATTCCTTGACTACTCTAGGGGTACACTACGGAGAGATTTATTAATATTTCATCCCTAAACTATCATTGTAGTTTCGTTACATCATTATCTGTGGGATTTTTCCAAAAATTTCTGATTCATGATCAGGGATTTTCAGATCTGATGATGATAAAAACATTATAAAATCTAAAACATGTCTCGATACCCAATATGTTATCCTTAGTTAAAAAATGACAGTAAGAAGAGTCTCTCAGGTTTTTTAATAGAAATTAATTTGATTTTAGTGTATGAAGAACATTTGTTTTGACTTGACTAAATATTAGTTCAGAGAATGATAAAATAGAATGTAGAACAGAAGAAAAATGCTTTTGTTTTGAAATCGGCAAAAATAACTGTGATACTAATAATCATCGTGAGATAACAACCTATTCTTGGTTTTCCTTTTGGTATATTTAGTAAGTGGTTCTGTGGAAATCAAGGTTAACGAACAAAGGCTCGTCAGAACGTTTAAAATCAATTTTGGGATACCAATAGCGCGCAGCTTCACCACCTCCTGAGTAACCCCCGCATCACCCCCTCACACACACGTACATAGACACACCACCGCCTGTTGCCGTTGACGTCACGACCGATCGTTCGAGCCACAATCTGGGACGCTATTATGTAAATACGCGATTTGTTTTTGCGACAACCCTTATTTTATTACAATTTTAAAAAAACATTTTCGCGAGTAATTTCAAAATCTATGCACCTGAATTGGTTCTTCTTTTGCATTTTTCTACGTAAAATGTTCATAGTCCACAAATGTCTGAGTTTGTCTTTAAATATGCATTATGTACTACTATAACAAAAGACCGTTTACTTTTGTGGGTCGCTAAAGACGAATATGCAATTGGTGA